CATTAGCTCTACAAATATTGTTAAAAGTTGGGGATTATTATGTTTCTTTTTCAAAAATGAAATAAGTTTTGACAAAAACATTCTGCAGAGGCAGAAGGTCAAGTATGCCTCTCTTCATCTTCCTGTTTTTTTAAGAAGATGAGAACATCTCTCCCATTCCCATTACTGGTGAGTCATGCTGGTTCTGGCAGTGCACAAATTTGTAAACCTAACCACTCCCAAATATGATAAGTTTGCCCCACACAATTCCTTCAAAGTAATATCCAATACTTACTTGCAACTGGCTGGTATTCATTTGCCTGAATGGAGGTGATGTGGAACTCTTTCCAGCCCTCTTAAATCATAGCATCTGGTCCACAAGGGGATAACAGCCTTCTGGGCAATTGACAGGAAACCATTATATTTTTTCCTTCTGAAGACTGTCTAGGCAAAAAAGAATGGGCAAGCTTCTAGATGTGGACCCATGAGCAGAGAAAAGTTAAGGTTGGACTCCCCTGAGGAGCAGTTTCTGTTCACTTGCACAAGGACCATACACTTAGGGTTATTGTATCTTGACTGCAAAGATGCAGACAACCCCCAGGTGGCAGAAAGAAATGTGGGAGAAGTAACTATTTCCTGCCCTCTAGTGGTCATGGGGGGCTTAGCAGTCCAGATGTGGTAGCTCTAACACCCAGAGACCATGAATAGATGACATGCTAGGCCAAAAATTCAGTTAATTTGAGGCCCACACGCTGCATTTAAACCAGATTGTGAGATGTACTGTATCATCTAAACCCAAAACAGTTTCCATATGTGATTTATGCAAGCCAGTCTTTGTAGCTGAGGCTTGTTCCAGATGTTTGCAAGCCCAAAGTAGCAGCTTTTTCGGGTTCAAGCTTCAAACCATAACCAAAGTGCAGATTCAGAAAGTCTGGACTGCAATGTTACTATATTTCTGCTCACTTTTCCAAGGGAATGTGAGAGAAGAATAGAAAACTGCTGTGATCCCGTGCCTTCACTGAGCCCAGCCCCCCAGAAGACTTTGCAAAGAGACGTAGGCAAATGCTCTTGGACTGGCAAATACTATGATAGCATTTTTTTGAATCATAAGCTATTGTTTATAAACCATAGTGCTTGGGTTCATACAACCCACTAAACCAGATAAAATACACATTACAGGTTAATGTGATATGTGAACCCAGTTTTTAGGTTACTTTCCTTCACCTTGCTTTACATTTTGGCAATTTGGTTTTCTTTGCCCTTTCTCCAGACATGACTGAGTCTAGAGTTGGGGTTAACAGTGGCTCTAAAGTAGAGCTATTGGATCTAGGCTGCACAATTCTAGAAGACCTCTAGATGGCCATGGTTTGTGGCCATCTGGATTATTGCGGTTCAACTACGGTAGACTTATTCAAAGTTACTTGACAGGCAGCTATTCACCAAGCAAAACTTTTAGTATATATATACAAAACTTTTCAACTATATATAACTGCATGTGTTTCTCATGCTAATTAGGAAGCGTAATGACCAATAAGAACTAGTAATTAGCAGTAACTGAAAGAGGTATGGCAATGTTAAAATTGTCTTTGGTGGTCAGACTATTGTAAAGAAGTGTTCAGGGTTGAACTGAGGGTGACCACTGAGGGTGACCCCCTGGATTAATTAATTAATTAACGTTTCAATGTTTTAAAACTTTATTTTAACAAGGGAGAGAAACCTTGAAGAACCTAGCTTGTTGAATTCTCCCAACCTCTTAATTATAGGACCACCTTGGGTCAGATGACCTCCACATGACATGGAGAAGGGCGGTTCTTAGAATGGAGGAATCAGTAATATCACAAGACCCTGGCCAGCTGGCCCTCCCAGAGTGATGCACTGGAGGACGCATTTTTTTTCCTCGACGGTCCCCAGCCAGATCCAACCCTTTTTCAAACTCAAACATTCCTTTTGATGTTTTCTTTCCCCAAGCCAAATGTGGTCCCATTCTGTTTTTGGAAAGTTAGTCTGCTGACAGACAGAACCTTGATCCTCCTTTATTAATACCTTTCCCACATTCCCTTGAGCTGGAAAGAATAAAAATGATGAATGGCAGCAACCCATTGTTTGTGGGGGAATTGTCTCCATCTTTCTGGAGAAAGACTAAAATAAGCAGGGATAGTAGAAACATCCTACAGGAAGAGTAGGTAGAACTATGTCTCCTTTGCTGGCCATTTTGTGACAGCCCACAACTTTCTAAATGTTCCCATTAGCCCCAAAGAATGGGGACATCTGTATTAAGATGTAATATGAGTTATTTGGTTTCAGACTGGCTTAGTGTATGACTCCACCTGTAACAGTTTGTAAACACGGTTTACAGCTTCGTGTGCTGTGTGAATAATTATGGTGCATTAACCACAATTTAACAAATCATGGCTTAGTGCAATGTCTCCACTCAACCTATGGGTTTACAAATAAAAGTTTTACAGCTGATGAACTCCAATAGCTAAAGAACAACGAGGAGGAAAAAAAACAAAGGTAAGTGATGCAAATTCTGTTTATCTTGGTGAACAAATCCCAGCAGGCATTATTAAATATAATGAAATTAATGGCAAGATATTCATCTCCTCTAACAATGGAGAGTTTCCTCTAAGAGCCTTAGAAGTACAGAAAGGAGAATAATGCTATCTCCTGGGTCAATGACTCAAAGTCCATAGATCTTCTCTTGGGTTCAATTAGAGAAAAGAAAGTGGGTTTTCCTTACACGTTATTGTCCCATCCTTACTAAAATATTACCCCATGGTGAGGGTTGGACTGCTCTTTGAATGCATCTTGGCCTGACTTGGGGGGGTGGGCAGCCCAAGGTCCTTGGGTCCATATGACTCCCCAACTCCTTTGTGGCAACCCTTGGAGATCACACTTCCACATTTTGGCAGGAAAGCACCAAGGAACCATTGCAATTTTGCACCATTTTTCAGAGAAAAGCTGTATTAAAAAGAAGTGTAACCCTATTGTTTGACTGAGAGCATGCCAGTAGAAAAATTTCATTCCCCTTCCAAAACACAGAATAAAAATGGTCATGGGAGGCTTCAGCCATTTCAGGCATGTCACACACACACATGTGCATCACACACACACACATCCAATGCACCATTTGGTAGGTCATTTAAGAAAAATGAACGCACAGCCTCCAAAATATTTCTTACCCGTGTCTTACATGACTGGATGGTCAACCTGCACAACTCTGAAATGGTTCAGACCATTGTCTCTGCAGGATGATCTGAATTAACAACCAAAACTAAGTACTCCTTTGACAAAGCCTTCTCTTCCAGGGCAATTAATCCATTGCTATTTCTCTCTGATTTCAAATGCATCCTATCTTCCTCTGTTCCCTTTTTTTGAGGAAGGAAATGAAAGTTGTGGTGGTGGTTGCTAAAATTACTGTTTGTTCTCACATTCTAGTAACTCCAGAGCCTGGGAAATGAATGCAATAGGCATAATATATGGATACCACATCCATGTATAGTTTAAGAAACAAAGCATCCATTCATTGAAGAATGGCATTATTGCAAGAATGGGCATTCAACGAAGGGTAAGGGAGGCAAGTGACATCATGTGCATCATGATATCATTGTTATGATGACACCATGGAGGGCAATGACATCATCATGGCTTCAACCAGACAAGTCTATCCTTTTAAAAGTAAATTCTCATTGGGAAGATCTCAATGAATCACTTGAGAAGAGATTCATTCATTTAAGCCCCCAGAACTTTGTTTGGAGACTACAAAGCCCATCTAAAACTTGACACTAAATTGTCATTTTTTGTAATGTGGTAGAATGGAGAAATTATTAAATACATAGGAAGTCATTGTTTTAGCTGTATGCAATTACCTAAATGTCAGGTCAGTTTGAACCTTGGATCATGGATTCTGGCAGATCATTTAAAGGCCAAGAACAGCCCTCAGCTCAAAACATGTGACCCATCCATCCATGAGTACATAGGTGAGCGATTAAAGTGTTGATTGAATATATTTGGAACATCTACAGCCTTGGACCATTTTTCCAGCTGGCCCTCTATAATTTGGATTATGCTGCATTGTTACATCTTTCCCAGCTCTCCAAACAAATTGTTACATATTTCCCAGCTTTCCAAACAAAATAACAGGGGGCAAACTACAAATCCTGAGTTATTAGCTGACCTGGTTAAAGAAAAAAAATTAACAGAAGACTAAGGGCTACACCCTTCATAAAGAAAAAATGTTGTAGGACACGTGAGGGAATGAGAATGAGAAATTTTCTTTAAAATGAAGGATTGTAGGAGAATTTTCCCAGGCATAGCTTTACACCAGAGACCAGGACACAATGACATTAAAGTACCAATTGGTTTATTGACAGAACTTGGGGGCAAAAACAGACATTAAGAGAGGATGGATTAGAACCCCCGCGGTCACGTGTTTGCGATCCAGGCTCTTGGCAACCAGCTCGCACTTAGATGGTTGCAGCATCCCGTGGTCACATGATCACCATTTGCGACCTTCCCAGACAACTTCCAGCAAGCAAAATCAATGGGGAACTGTGATTCACTTAACAGCCATGTGATTCACTTAACATCTGCAGTGATTCCCTTAATGACACATATTATTCGACTCTAACTTGTATAAAACTGTGAGAGACTTACATCTTGGCCCATATGTTAAACGAACAACCCATTGGGATTCACATATTAGAACAACATATTTTATGTGCGGTCAAAACCCAAAAGTAACATAACACAGCCTTGTTTTTAAGCAAAGCAATGTGTTTGAGATATACATATGTGGGGTCGATTGGAGTGAATTTCCGGGGTGATATAGAAATATGATTTGTATTTCCACTTACATGTATACCTCCTTATACTTATTACTCTATTTTTATTCATGTTTTGTCTAATCTGTTTGCTATATTACTTTTGTAAAGAGTTTTATTAATTATTTACTATCTAATTATTATTTTGATAAGGCCTAATAAACTTTGATTTGATTTGATTCCCTTAATGACCACTGCAAAAAAGGTCATAAAATTGGGTGCCCCACTTTAAAAATGAATTTTCCAGTCCCTATTGTGGTTGTTAAGCAAGGACTACCTGTACTATCATCTCCACTTGAACAAAGCTAAGAGAAAGACAGTATGTGTGTGGGTGTGCCTACAACACTTTTAGAGAGTGTAAACTTAATATTCACTTCCATTCCGTAGAACAAGGGAAAAGATTTATCAAAGCAGAAGAATCAAAGTACTTTCTTTCAGTCATTGACCAGCCTTACATAACCTAAAACATAGAAATAAAATGAGATACAAGATAAAATAAGAATAATTGAATAAAAGGTCAGTTAATACAACCAGCAGAAGTGAAAGTTTCTTCCTTCAGCTAAACTACTTTGAATACTGAGGACAAAGGAACATCCTGTTACTCTACAATGTACCCTGTCCATTGGACAGCAAAGCATGAGATAAAATGCTCACAAAAATGTACAATTTAACCGGAAGGGGCACTGAAGAGAGAGGATCATACATTTTAACAAGGAATAATTGTCCATAGAGGTAGGATTATTAATCATTCCAAGGTTTTGCTATTTCACAATTAATTTTAGAATACGGATAAAGAACTCAGGGCCTCCAGATAGTTCATAACTCATTATCTCACAGAGTTGGCCACTGGGTGTAATTCAGAGACTTCTCAAGGTTTATAGGTTTTCTATGCCTGTTTTAGACCCAAGGGCTGGTGTTCATTTGCTGATTTGCAACTGATTGACATCTGTGCAGATGTTAGCTTAGCCACTTAACAATTTACAGAAATGGGTTTCAAAAATCCACCATTAAAATTTCCCTAGAACAGCTCATATGAGGTTACTAATAGCAGATGAAATCCTTCTCTTAGAGTGCCAGTTTGGGCTTTTGTTCCTTTTTGCCACCACTAGTGTTAAAATCTCATGTCCGAAACATTTTTGCCCACTACAGACATAATCGATTGGTGTGATATCCTTGTTGTGGTTATGGCATGAGTACATAAATTTGCAGAGGTAACTCTCAATCATTGATCAATAACCCTAAAACCCTAACCCCCAACCCTAACTTCTGTTGGATGGGGGGGAATGCCAGGTAGCCAAAATAAGTATATGTAATTGATTGGTGTAAGAAACACACTGGCAGACAAAAACTTTTTGGTGGACAAAAAAGGAACAAGGGCCCTAATTTTTATAGCTAGATTACAATCATTCCGATTACTTCTCTTGCCAAGGAGTAACAACTAACCAACATTTACATTCTTGTCTCAGTAGAGGCACAAAAATACAAAAATGTAGTTGATAACTAGCTTTTCCCACGAAAAAAAATATTCAAGGAAGGATTATATGAATAAGTGCAGGAGGTCACAGGATGAGGAACCATTCCAATAACAATCACTTTTGATCTTCCCCGTAGCATAATTGGTTGCCCATCATTCTTCTCAGAGCCACCTTAACCTCCTTGTTCCTCAGGCTGTAAATTATGGGGTTCAACATGGATGTCACAACTGTATAGAACAGGGCCAACAGTTTGTCGCTCTCGGCCGAATAGCTGGATTTGGGCCGAAGGTATGTAATAATGCCTGACCCATAAAAGAGCGAAACCACAATGAGGTGAGAGGAACAGGTGGAGAAGGCTTTCTGACGGCCCTCAGCTGATGGCATCTTCAAAACAGAGATGACAATATAGACATAAGAGGTAAGGATCAATAGGAAAGGGGCAGTAATAAAAAGAAGAGCTACCATATATACAGCAATTACATTTCTGGAGGTGTCACCACAAGCCAGCGTCAGGAGTGGGGGGATGTCACAGAAGAAGTGGTTGATCCTATTGGGGCCACAGAAAGTCAAGCTAAAGACATAGTTGGTCTGACCCAGCCCCACCATCAGTCCCACTGACCAGGAGGCTACTGAGAGCTGGACACAGACAGCTGGGCTCATGATGATGCTATAACGCAAGGGGTTACAGATGGCCACATAGCGGTCATAGGCCATGGCTGCAAGGAGACAGCATTCTGCAATTCCAAACAGGGTGAAGAAATACATCTGGGTAGCACAGCCCCAGAGAGCTATCTTCTTCCCATGCTCTGACATCAGGCTTGCTAGCATCTTAGGAACAATGGCAGTTGTGTAGCATATTTCTAAGAGAGAAAGGTTAGTCAAGAAAAAGTACATGGGTGTATGAAGGACCGGATTGAGCCTGATCACCGTAGTGATGACAATATTTCCAGCGAGTGACATGGCATACATGAAAAAAACCAGAACAAAGAGGACCATCCGCAATTGTGGCAGTTCAGAAAACCCAGCAAAGATGAACTCACTCACCAGGGAAGAATGATTGGACATAATTCATATCAGACAATGATTCACCTGCAGAACATAAGAGGCAACAAAGAATCAGCAATGATAAATTATCCATTTCTCTGTTTGCTGCCACTGTTTAATATAAAGATGGACTTATCTCCTTGCTGGTGACACCCTCTAACCTCTCACCCTAGCTATAGGGTAATGGCTAGGTAGTAAGTAAGAAGGAGAAAACAAGGTGAGTGCATGCATGCACACAGAGACAGCCCAATTGTACTTTATTCAGTATATTTTGTTTAAAACAAACCATGGCTTGGTGCAACGTATGCATCTAGCCATGTCTGAACCTGAATAAATCTGAGCTTCATAAATCTCCCAGTTCCTTTTAAGTCCTAGAACCATTTCTGGGGAATTCCTGCTACTGACAAAAAGAGGACAAATCTTCACTTGCATATTAAGCTTTAACTTCAGTTCATTCTACTAAACATTGAAGGAAGACTTACCATAAAAGATAAAGATAAAAGCACCCGTTTATAGGTTCCATCGTAGGCGTCTTCCAAAGTTCTTTTGAAGGAGGGACTGGGTTATAGTCTAACTTTAGTCTAGAGTGGAAAATCTCTAGATTAAAACTGTTAGACCGTTAAGCAGAATTGGGTGGGATAGAGAAATGGTAGTAATAAATAAAAATAAGTTAAAAATCTTAAGCTGATTATGTGTGTTTGGGTACATAAAGTATTAATGTAACTTATTCTATAGAGCAAATCACAATCTCCTACAAATTCCGAGTGAATCACTATGAAGTTCTCCAGGTGCAGTTCAGCATGGAACGTTTGCCATTACAAGCAGTGAAGTGCACAGAATTATTCCAGCATCTTGCCAAGAAAAAAATGATTGTTTTATCTGAAGTTCTATCAAACAAGCAACTCTCAAATTGGCCTTCATGCACAACTGCAAACCACACAGCTAGGACCTGTTGGAGTCCAAAATCCTTTTTTTAAGGGTTTTTTTAATCCTGGTGATATAAAAAGATTAAGACATCTCTCTGTTCAGAAACACAGAAAGTTGGACTTACCTTTGAAAACATGATCCAATCTATTGTCAGAGAAGAAAATCCCACGTTGGCTCAACCAAGGTCTTTCTCGTTGCTCGGGTCCCCCTGAGGCTTCATTAGTAAACAGGTCTCCTTCTTCTCCGAGAAGCAATTGGCTATGATATTCCACCCTCCCACCGAGCCTCTTGCTCCCTTAGATGCTTTTCAAAACACGAACTTCATTGTCTTTTGGCAATCAGAATGTTATTATTGTTTCCTTATTGCTTGATTTAAAGGAGTGGAAGAATCCACTTCTATCATTTCCTTTCAAGAAGAATGAGCCACAGAAGTATCTGCTCCCTATAAGAAACTTCTCCTTCTCAAAATGTCTTCTCAACGAAGATATACATTCTCCTAAACACAAATTTTAAGGCACAAATATACTGACTGGGGGGAAAACATCTGGAAAAAAAGCTGGTCCTATAACATCAGAACTTGGAGGCATAGTTAGTTCAATGTTATAAGTAAGTAAGAGCACAGGGTTTTCAAACAGAATGCAGTGATATATACAGGCTGAAACCCGCTTGTTGGCATAGTCAAGGATTAGGAAAGCTAGTCTGCAGAAGAGCATCCATTATAGGTAGTCCTAATCTCAGAGCTTGCCCCAGAGCCCCTCAAAACCTGCTGATTGATTGTGTTTGTATCATCTCTTCTTAAATGTTTTTCTCCATACGTGTATCCTTTGGAAAGTTCAAGCCAACTTGCTTGTGGCTCCACGAATACACTCAGTTCCACCAAGCTTCAACAACATGATATGTTAGGCATTTTCAGACTATTTGCAACTGAAATAGGCAGGGTTCAATAACTCTTACACAGTTCTTGCTAGATCCGTGGGGACAGGAGGCGGAGGGGTTCACCATTGAGACCATCTTTGTTGACCCCAGGGCTAAACATGGGGTAGAGGCGCTCGGAGAAGACATCCAGAAAGGTGCAGATGTGGGTCATGGTGTCAGCATCATAAAAAGAGACTTGTCCCCCTTCATAATCCAAATAGACCCCCACTTTCTGAGGCTTGGTCTTGAGGAACAACTGCCTGGAGGGAGAGTCAAGGGCCTTGTATTCATTGCCATTCCGTAGCCAAATGGCCCAAAAACCATTGCTGGGCTTGACAGTCACCTTGGCCTCCTTCCTGTTCACTGACTCATTGGCCACCCCGATATCCCAGCTCGTTTTATTCCCAACTTCTACCTCCCAATAGTGGCATCCTGAAGTAAAGCCCTGGGCACCCAACACACATACAGACTTGCTAAATCTTTCAGGACCATCAGGGACATCTTCCTCAGGATTATCTTCCACATGTACAGTGTCAAGATCCTTGGAGAGCACAAGGTTGGGATGGTTGGTGGCAGGATCCAAAGTTATATGTGAGGGGACTGTTGGGATAAGAACAACAAGGGCGTTATCTATATTTGCCAACTTTTGAAATCTCCCCCTAGAAAGGTGTTTAAAAAAACCATGTCTATGCCAAGTGGACAACTCAGTTTCAAATCAGTTTTCAGCAATGCCAACCAAGAAATCCTGTTATGGTCATATTTACATATGTATATATAAACTAGGCATATTTCAATGAAATTGGGACATAAACTACCACTCCCAGGGTTCAGGGTGGGTGATTATGATCTTTCCAGCTGCCTGACTGAGCTACTCTTGGTAGGTATGGTGTAGAATCCCAATTCCCTGATGGTATCTTCTCCAAATTCTAAAAGTGGATTCTTTCCTGCAGTGCTCTGCTCTGAGGACACTTGAATTGATCCTTTAATGATGGAGTGCAAATCAAAGTCAAAGCGCTTGCAAAGGAACAAAGGAAGAACCTTCAATAAAGGTCTGTACAGAATCAGTAGAACAGTTCTCAGCAAAAAGCATTTTACACGATGGAAATTATACGATCACTGGGTGGCTAAATGTTTTGCAAACCCCTAGCCAGCTTGCCAAAGCTCTGAGTTTTGTGGCAAACTGCAACCACTTGAATCTAGTAAGTTCAGCTTTGGGGCAGTTGTGAATGTTAGTAAACATTACAATCCCCTCCAAAAGAGATGGAAACAAAGTCTGAAGGGGGAAGGAAGATGGGATCTTGCATTCCTTCCAAAGAACTGGGAGTAGCTACACCTCACTTGTACCCATGCACCTTTCACCTTTCTCCTCACAATTCTGTGAAATAGGTTAAGCTGAAGGACAGTGGCAGGATGAAGTTCAGCCTTTGAGCCTGCTGTCCTCAACCTGGTTCCACCCAGAAGTCGGGCACTACAATTCCCATCACCCATAAACCTTAAGCATATTATTATGCTCTTTGGCAGCTGCCTAACCATGATTCTTTCCAGGCCTAATTTTCTCAGGGTTCACTTGAGCAGCATGTTTTGAACTGAAAAGGACAGGGTTACAACAATTCCAGCTGCTGAACCGTTTAGATCCAGTGTGTACATTTGGGATGAAACTTTTTGATTTCCTTTCTAACAGCTTTCCTATGATCGGGAAAAGAGGTATGTCTTTTCACTGATAATGGAGTTTGTGTCTGGCTATTTTACATAACAGCCTCCTGAATCTTTCTCAGCCTGGGAACCACCCATTAACTCTGGTTATCTGCAGTTGATGGGAGTTGTACTCCCCAATATAGGGAGAAACCCATTTTAGACAAGGCTCCAGCAATCTACAGGGCTGAGCTGAGACTAAAAGCCAAACCTCTCCGCTCTTAGTTTAATACTGTAACCATTACGCCACCCTTCCCATGATCCAGAGTTGAAATGAATTATGCATGATCAAATCATCATCTAAGAATTCACTCAGCTTTGTTGCAATTTTCCTGCTGTTCCTCCATGATACTCACAAGGTCTTAAAGCCAGGAACATCTCTCTCCAGAGCATGTACTGAATAGGCCCTTTAAATTGACCTAAATTGAAATCACGAGAAATTACAGGCAGTGGACATCCTTTGTCCTCCGGGGAACAATATCTGCAAAGACAGAAAAATCAACAAGATCTATGCAGTGCTGTAGCTTGTTCTCGAGCACCATCTGGTGGCCATATCTAGGAATTTCCACAGCTGTTTAACTATACCACCCTTCACTGGGGACTTTAAAATGATGCACTGAGGGGTTTTTTTATTTTTTATTTTTTTAGTGCCTTCGAGTCAGTGTTGACTCCTGGCAACTGCCTGGACAAGTCCCTGCAGTTTTCTTGGCAAGATTTCAGAAGTGGTTTGTTATTGCCTCCTTTTTCCTAGGGCTGAGAGAGAGGGACTGGCTCAAGGTCACCCAGCTTGAGGTAGGACTAGAACTCACAGTCTCCCAGTTTCTAGCCTGGTGCCTTAACCTCTACACCAGACCGGCTCTATTCTACCCTCATTTTATCCTCACAACAGTCCTTCAAGGTTGCCCTGAGATTTGTTTATGATTATTAATGTTTTGGGGCAGATCCCTGAATCTGGAACCAGAGGCAACAGGGATCAGCAATGCAAACAACCA